TTCTCCCTCCCTCTCTCTCTCTCTCTCTCTCTGTGTCTGTGTGTGTCTTTCAGAGCCGCCTCTCGCCACGCCAAAATGCACCGAACGACCAGAATCAAAATTACCGAGCTAAACCCCCATCTCATGTGCGTGCTCTGCGGCGGGTACTTCATTGATGCAACAACCATCATAGAGTGCCTCCACTCCTGTAAGTACGACCTGGCGCTTCGCGTTGTTTCTCCCCCGCCGCTTCCCACCTTTCCCGGCATCCTGGGAACACACCACCAAAAAAAAAAAAAAAAGCCGACCCAGGCCCAAACCCCCCGAGGTACTTGAGACCGACGCCCCTCTGCCTCCCCGACGTCTGGGAAATCGGTGGCCCGCCGGTGTAGTTTTTCTGACGATAGCCTTACGGTCTTTGTTAAAGTAATAATATATGTACTCTAAGTGTCTCCTTTTCATGGTAATTGCAGCTTATTTGGGTATTTGTTTAGCTTAAGCAGCACACTGCTGACAATGGACGATTTGCTCTAGCTTGTATAGTTTAAAAATCGCACCTCTATCTATGCATATCTGAGCGTCACCTACGACCATCACTAAAAGACTTTCGTGTTTGACTTACAGTCTGTAAGACCTGTATCGTGCGTTACTTGGAGACCAGCAAGTATTGTCCTATCTGTGATGTCCAAGTTCACAAAACTCGGCCGCTTTTGAATATAAGGTAGGAGAAAGATGTAATTTGCTCTCTGCATCTCTTACTTTACTTTCTGTGGGGAGACTGGCAGTAGTCATGTCGATGTTATCTCTTGGTCTGCAATTTAAATCTGAAAGGACTTGTCAATTTACAAGCTAACTCATGTGTATGCACTCTCTTTGGAGTTTTGTCATTGATTGAAATTGAAGTTTCCCTGGATGCAAGACATAAAGTTGTTGTTCTTTTTTTTCTCCCCTTTTTTTTTTGCATACACTTAGCTTCTTCCCTTTTTCCAGCTCTCATGTGTACTGACCTGACAGTTTTCACCTCCGCTTTCTATACCTTCCAGACATGCTTCAGTCCACCCGTAGCTCCAAGTTACAAAAACTCTCGCTGAAACTTTCCAAGATAGGAGGCAAAAGCCTTTAAAGCATGCTTTTCTTTTCAGAAGTATTTTTCACATCAGTGTTACCCTTTGCTCTTCTTACTTTCTAGGGAGGACGTGTAGTTTTTAAGGCGTTCCTTCAGTCCAAGAGGATTATTTTTCAGTTGCGGTAGCACAGATGAGCTTTGTTTTATAGCAGTATTTGTTTGATTACAAGGTCTTGTAAGGTAACTTTTTATGACTAGCCTCCCACTCTGTAGAAGATGCCTCATTGTTGTGAAAGATTATAAATGAGAAGCTGCTGCTTGGATTAAAATATTGCTTCATCTGCTTAATTTTATACTTTGGGGTTCTTCTTTTTTCAGGTCAGATAAAACTCTCCAAGATATAGTATACAAGCTAGTACCAGGCCTTTTCAAAAGTAAGTAGTTAGATCAGTTTTGTTTGGTTGTTGTTGGTTTTTTTTCTGATGACCAGAAAAACAAAACCAGAATTGCTATCCTATACTGCTATCCTATAGCAATACCAGGAGTTACAGAGTATGTGCTAAAAGAAAAATATGTGCTCTTCCATCTAGATGAAATGAAAAGAAGAAGGGATTTTTATGCTGCTCACCCGTCGGCTGATGGTAAAGGCCTCTTGTTTGCAACTTTAATAAAATTTCCTTTTTAACCTAAAAATTATGTATTACCGTGACAGAATTTTAAGAAGTAAATTCAGCATACTGAGTCTATTGTTTTAAGAGTTAGGTATAGCTTTAATTCATAATCTTGCTATGCGTATTTTTTTTCTTGTTATTGAGAATTGCCATTCTTCCTGATTTGAATTTCAAAATGTAAATTATTGTGGATATTTCTTCACAGCTGCCAATGGCTCTAATGAAGACAGGGGAGAAGTCGCTGATGAAGACAAAAGAATTATAACAGACGACGAGATAATAAGCTTATCCATTGAATTCTTTGACCAAAACAGGCAAGTTCCAGAATGGCAATATTTTACATTTACCTGATTGATAGCAACTATAATTATTGTTTGCTGTAATTGTTTCATTTCTTCTCACAGACTGGAACGAAAAGGAAATAAAGAGAAAGAAAAATCGAAGGAAGAGGTAAATAAGTTTGGTTTAGAGGAAACATATCTTTGGGGCAGGTTTGTAGCTGAAAAAATTACATAGGTATGTGTATCTAGAACAAAAGAAGCACACCTGCTCTTACGGTGCTTGGTATGGAAGGAGTCAGAGATCTGCATGGAGCTGTATACGTAAACAACTTCTTGAAATTAAAAGTAACACAGTAGGTATTTTTTAAGTGGAGTCTGATTTTTTTTTTGTCAGATTCTGCAATAATTTATTTATTTTTAAAAATCAATATGTAATACATATATATTGTAGAAAGAGATTTACTGTGAGATAGAAATCTTTATATATACAATTATTTGTGATTTAATTACTTATTCTGGAACTGTCATTTACCGCTTATTTCTGTTGTTCCTTATAAAGCAGCAGAAATGCTTATATCATAGTTAATAATTTAGTAAAATATATTTAAAAAGAAATGCTGGAGTACAACGCCTTTGATGGGAGTAACTGCTTGTTGCCAGTAGACTGATTTTCTTTATTATGCCATCAGGTGAATGACAAAAGATATTTACGCTGCCCAGCTGCAATGACAGTGATGCATCTAAGAAAGTTCCTGCGGAGTAAAATGGATATACCTAACACTTTCCAGGTACTTGTGGGGAAACAAGTGGGGAGTTTTTAATTATTTTTATTTTTACGTTAGTCTTGCTATTCTAAGCCTGCTAATGCTGTTTAGCACTCACTTTCTCATTACAGCTATTTTCAGCAAGTGCTAGCTACCAAGTATTTCTGGTGTGTACAATACATTGATGGGATTATTGACATTATTTTTAAAATACCTCTGTGAGGAATTTGGTGACAGTCTGTAAATTTTTTTCTTAAGCTGTAAATATCGAGGTCTCAAGATATTGCTCCATAATATATTTAAAACAGAAGTAGTAGATATGAAAGTTCCCTGTTCCCTGCTCGTTTTGGTATAGCATTTTTTTCAGTTTTCTGATGTATATGGCAGCAAGGCTACTTTCACCTCAAGGCAATCATATCCGAGTGGTAAATGCCTGGATGCACCTAATGCAAGGATTTGTATCTTGAACAGATCGATGTGATGTATGAAGAGGAGCCTCTGAAGGACTATTACACCCTAATGGACATTGCGTACATCTATACCTGGAGGCGGGTGAGTACAGCCAGCGCGCATCCGCCAGGGAAAGTGGGGCGGGATGCGGGTTGTGGCCCGGGGAGGGCGCTTACCAGGGTCTCCCCTTTGCCTTGCAGAACGGGCCTCTCCCCTTGAAATACCGGGTCCGACCTACTTGCAAGAGGATGAAGATCAGTCACCAGAGGGAAGGCTTGAATAATAGTGGGGAGCTGGAAAGTGACTCTGGGAGCGACAAGGCGAGCAGCCCAGCAGGAGGAATCCCCTCCACCTCCTCCTGTCTGCCCAGCCCCAGCACGCCCGTTCAGTCTCCTCACCCCCAGTTCCCCCACATCTCCAGCACCATGAACGGCACCAGCAGCAGCCCCAGCAGTAACCACCAGTCCTCCTTTACCAACAGAGCACGGAAAACATCAATAAATGGCTCCTCGGCCACTTCTTCTGGTTGACGTGCCAACCAGGCTACTGCCCCCGCCCCTCCTTTATATAGATCTCTTCATGCCATTACAGCTTTATAGATGCTAATCCATGTGACTATCGTCCAAATTGCTTTCTTTTGTAGTGACACTGAACTTGGCTATAAAAGGCGGACTAGGTGACATTCAGGATGGACGTTAATGGAAGCGCAAGATTGAAATGTAAATTGTTTTCAGAGGACTGGGAAGCAAACAAAAGTTACATCTTCACCTGTTCTGAGTGATGCGGAGTTGTTTCCGTCCCCATCGTCTGGACTCGGGAGTCTCCAGAAGTCGATACAAATCCCGGGAAGTAGTTTGTTAATCCAGACTAACTCCTCCATTGCGTTCTCTTCAATTGTTATTGTTCTTATGCTGTTTTGTGAACCTGTAGAAAGCAAGTGCTTTTTCATCTTGAAATCCAACAAATGGAAAGAATATGCATATAATAATGCATATATGTAGCCATGTCACTGTGAATAACAATTTTTGCGTATTAGCCATTTTGATTCTTATGTTGCATCTTTTACTTCTCTGTTGCTGCGCAGAACCGATCAAAAGAAAAGTAAACTTCAGTTTTACAATCTGTATGCCTAAAAGCGGGTATTACCGTTTTATTTACTGACTTGTTTAAATGATTCGCTTTTGTAAGAATCAGATGGCATTATGCTTATTGTACAATGCCATATTGGTATATGACATAACAGGAAACAGTATTGTATGATATATTTATAAATACTATAAAGAAAATATTGTGTTTCATGCACTCATGATATGGTTGTTAAATTTCTAAACTGGTTCGACCCTTGCAGATGCCGCCTGTTTGAGCTTTGCTCATACTGCAAGAAAAACACTTTGCGTGTGAGAGCTACAGTATTGGGAAAGCACATTCAAGTCTCTGATAACTTGGAGGCAATTGGCAATCTTAAAAGAAATTTACTGGCTTTGTCTTTTTTTCCAAGTGATATATTTTTACTTTACCAAATGTTGAAGTGATGCAGTGAAAAAAAAGCCCACAAACCACAAAAACAACAGTTAAGGGGCATGGAAGTCTTTGACCTGTTTGCTTACCTTTTTTTTTATTTTTTTTTGGTGTGGTGGGACTGTGTTTTTAAAAGCACATGGAATCATTATAGAAGCCATAAACTATTTGGTATAAATTTTAAGGAACCAGCAAGTTGCCAGATGAAGGCATTTTATCTAAATTTGTTTTAATATATATGTATATGGTACAGTACTAACTTCATTAAAATTTAACAGGTACTTTAATATTTCCAATAAATTGTGGAGAATGCCTCCTCTTTGATGGCCTGCAAATAGGTGCATTTTATTAGAGGCTTCTAAAGGTATTATTTTTTTCAGTAGAAGGAACTTTTCCACCATAAAATATGAACAACCCAGAACACTGTTCAGTTTGTGCTTTGCTTTGGTCGAACTTTGTGTGTGTTCATCACCCATCAGTTATACATTTGTGAGGGTGTTTATTCTATATGGATATTGTTTCATGTTTGTACGGGAAAATTGTAGTTAAACATTTCATTGTCTCCAGTCTGCAAAAGAAGCACAATTCTTATTGCTTTGTCTTGCTTATAGTCATTAAATCATTACTTTTGCATATAAATTGCTGTTATTTGTCCTGCTTGTTTTTATAGATCAGGTGATTGCAAATCCTCCGCAAGGTTATTACTTATTGATGTATAATGTCTTGTTAAACAAGAGTTGATATTTTTTCCTGTAGTAAACATGTACAGTTCAATTTCAACAGTAAAAACTTCAGTTTTATATACACGAATAACTTTCATTTATAGCTGATCAAAGAAATAAACAAATAAAAGGGATAATTCATTGAAAAAAAAATAGCAAATGACCTCTCTTCATAATGTGGTGTTAAAGGGCAAGTATCTTGTTCTCATTGGAAGTCTTCGAGGGTATACAAAAAATTACAGAAAACTAGAGTAGTAAGGTACCAAAAAAAAAGAAGAATAGAGTAGTAAGGTAAAAAAAAATAATACCTAGAAGTTGCCATGATTTGTTTTGGTTGCCTGCCTCTAAAACATTTGCTGTTCTTTATTTGAGCCCAAATTTTTCTTGAAAATAAGCAAATGGTGTATTCTGACATCCCAGGCAAGCACAGCTTTTACCTCTTGTCTTTTCAAACTTAGCCCACGTGTAACTGCAGTGGCTGGGAAAAGAAGAACAGGATTTTTGTGGTGGCGAGTACCAGGTCCTGCCTGTGCTGCCCTGGGTTACTTTATAAAGCCTGAGTGGAACTTAATGCGTTTTAATGTAAAGATATCTCTCCATGCGGTCGAGTGTCTATCTTGGCACGATTCCCTCGACTATATGAGTTAATCACACTGTGCTGGTTGAATTAATTCACCCAAAGACGAGCGCTGGACCTGCAGCAGAGGCTAGTACGTTAGCACGCTCATCAAATAGCGCTTATTTATGCTGGAAGCAGCTGATAATTACAAATTTTTGCATGAAAAGTGAACTATCCTCCGCCTTTGTAGAGCGTCCGTGAAGCATAAAGCAATGAAACTGGAGTTGGATAACTCCCCTCGAGGTTTATTAAGCTCTTACAGCACTTTCGACATCTCCCAATTTGACATCTCCCGTCAGAAAAAGAACAAACGTTTTCAGTAGCTCTCTTGCCGAGCTGCAGAAGCCGCCGAGAATGTGCTGCCATGTGAAACTTTTGTTTTGCTGCTGGCCCTAGGCAGATGGCACTGCTATGCGTATATATTGCTAAGCACGATTGGGAGGGCGATCAAAGATAGCATCTTGATGTTCTACTTGCGAAGCTGCTGTGTCAACCTCATCGGTTTCACAATAGCTTCCTTTGCAGCTACTTTAGCGAAGGGATTGCCTTACAAATGTACGTAAATCCTCCCTTTTGGGGAAAGAAATCTCAGCTCGGTGCGCGTAAGAAGAATCTTTTCACGATCCGACGCTGCATTTATACAGATCGAAGGATAAAGCCCAAGCCTGGTGCGTTTTTCTGAGTTTGTTCAACAAGCGATCTGATCAAAGGCAGAGGCAGGGGCGGTCTGCGCCCGCTGGAAAATAATGTTTTTCTGTCTTCGTCCGACAAATTTTCCGCCCTGGTTCAGCTGCGTGTGGCTCCAAGCAGCGCTTTTGTGCCCGGCCGGAATGGGGGATAGGCAGTAACGATCCAGCCTCGGGGAAAGCGAGCGAGAGGGAGCGTAAAAAGAGCTCCACAGGCTTCTGGAGAAGACGGGCAAAAAGAGGGAGAAGGAACGCAGAAACGTGCCGATAGAGAAAGAGATGGAGCACGACGAGCCTGCTAAACCAAGCTGTTTGTCCCCCGGCATTGCTCAAGGCAACCTGTGC